GGGGATTCCTGTCTAACAGCTAATCAGGGCTTCCAAGGTTTAACGGCTAATAAACCTACTTGCTTTGCTGTAATATTACAAACATCATCATCATCAGAGTGGGGTCACTTTAAAAGTATTAAGGCATTACCGATTATGTGACTACCCTCTGATATTTTAAACAAAACAAATACATGAACCCAAAATCACAGCTGATGTAAAGTGAGCTGTGACTTTTAGTTTTCATAACAAAACTACAGGTATTTTTTTTTCCATTAATCTCATGGTCTATAGAATATGATACTGCAAAATAAATTGCATATGGAGTACTGTTAAAAAAAGAATGTTTTAGCCCTCTTTTTTAACCTCCATTCTTTTGTATCTATAAGCTAGGCCGTCTGATTTCTGCTCATAAAAATGCACTTTACTGACAGTTGACAGAGCAGAGAAAAAAAAGTCCCTAAGTTATATCTGTGACATATATTCATCCTTCTCCAGCAGCAGCTGAAATTATTGTGACACATTTTCAAATCCACCAAGGTCGTTTGTGTCATGGGCAGAGAGGTGTAGTGTGGGGTGACACTGATTTTAATTGCTTTTTGTGTCACATTGTGCCAATGTATCTCGTGCACACTGCTGGGCGTCGTGACGGTTTATGAGTCATTTACCCTCCAAGGGCGCCAGAGAAGCAGCAATGGGAGTCGGTAGGCAACTTACTTAGACAAAGTTTGTTATCATTGTCATGCACAGTCAAGGGGCGGCAACAGAAAACACACACACACACAAATGTGCTTTTTCTTTTGGAGATGAGCCTCAGTGTGAGGCTTGAGCTTCAAATGGATAATGTTGTTCATGCTGATGTATTGGCCTTTGTAAATCTCTGTCCAAATTTCCTGGCTGTTCATCTTAATTTCCTCCTCCAGAAATTGCAGCTGTTTTCCTTTTATAAACTTATGAATAGGAAGCAGAATGAATAATGGACACCAGTAATTTGGATTCCCAGCTCATTTCCACACTGGCACTTACACCGTCAATTCAGAGTGGCTAAATCAACAGGGGAGCGTCATGAAGCACTTCTAATCTAATATTTTCAGGCATCAAAAAAAAATACAAAAGTGCTTGTCAAAAGGAGAAGCAGCTCCTCATGGTGGACTGTAGGGAATGATGGGAAGCCCCTATCTGTCTCTAGGGCAGGGTGCACATGCAGAGGTAAGGGATGCCTCCCACCCCTTTTTGGACTTTATTACACCCACAAATCATTCAAACTGTTCTCTACGGTCATTTTTTTCTGCCCTTTAGTAATAATTTATCTACTCTTCGATGGGGCAAATGAGAAGTTTCACCCACTATGTACAGGCAAAGCTGGGGGCTCAGTGGGACAGACATGGAGCACGTGGGGGCAAGGCCTATGTCCTTTAGCAGTAGCACACATCCAGTTGGTATTAATCTCTAATAACTTCCTCACAAAGCACCTTCAGGCAGTGGCTGCAGAAAGGCTACGGGTGGATGATACGTTTGCCAGCTCTAAGAATGATACAGGATATTAAAAAAAAAATCGGGGGGAGCAATTTCCTCTTTAAGGGATTTTAAAATTACAGCTCTCAGACTAGGAGTAAGTTTTGCTGTAACATAATTTCCTTGCTCCAACCTATCACAATGAATCAGCATGAAACTGCTCTGCCATCGCCTTGGTCTTTCATACATGTATGTCAGAGATAACTCCTTTAATAAAAATTTCACATTGTAATGAAAGTGTGAAACAATACCTCTGTAAATACACACTTCACAGGCTGCTGCACAGTGACTGGCTACAGCAAATAACACATTTTAAATCTTTTTTTTTTAATTACATTGTAATGTTTAAGAAAAAATTATTGTCCCTACACAATACATTTTGAAAGTCCGTCATTACAATCTTTATCCAGTTTACGCTGCACATGGAACAAAATGGTTTGGAATGTAATGATATATGTCATTAAACCATGGTTTTAACAATGCTCGACAATAAAAGACTAACAAGTGCAGTCCAGTACAACAGGAAATGCCAACTAACAAAACAAAAATGTCTCAAATACAGCAAACTGACCTTAAGGTTAGAGACGACTAGTACACAGGATTTTCAGTGTATTATAGCAGTACTTAAGTTAGGCAATCTGGAGATAGAGTTTAAGAGAGAGAGAGACAAAGACAGAGAGACAGAGAGAGAGAGAGTTTAATTCACCTGTCTAAGGCTGTGATCTAAATCTGGATTTGGAACAAAGTCATTAGTCCCTCAGTTTTAGGATTTTAGAAAAGAGCTGATTTTGGCGAACGTAACAACGAACCTTATCTGATGAGTGTATTATTTGATTTTCACACAACATATTTTGGTAGGGCTTGGCTCTTCTATTTCTGAACCATATGGACATGCAGACATGATGTTCTCCCTGATTTTGGCTCTAACGCAGCTCTGCTAATGTGATTTTCTACCAACTGCATGATCGAACACAGAACAACCATTCTGTTCTCTAAGGAGCCATCACAAATTTATTATCTTTAATTTTTGTCATTTTAAATTTGACCTTTGTTCAAGACAAATTTACGAAAAAACCAACGTGTTTAACATATTTCTAATGAGGAAATTGACTGTAAAAATGAAAGAGAAATGCTTATGTGCCATGTACATGAATGAAGACACGGCTCATTTGTAAAACAACGTTGTAGAAAATGATCTGGCTGCGATGGCAAGCTGCGGGCTAATGGGCAACGCTCAGTATTTCATTTCCAACAACATAAACAGTTAATAGAAATCTGTGTACAGTCATGTTTTATTCGACGGGAGCATACTGACTACACTAATGGAACATTACATTCCATTCCCGCTGGATTTTAATGTTAAAATGAACATACACTGCACACTGTGAATACTGTAGTCATGAATCTGTCGGCATCCGCCCTTACAGGTGCCAACACTGTCCACACGGGGTCAACAAATCAAACTTAGATTATTTTATCAATCTGCATTTTGTACAGCTCAATATCCAGAGGAGAAATAAACCCATGTTTCAATGCTTGCTGTCTTCTGAAAAATCAATTATAATTGAAGGGTTCAAAACAAATGCAAACTAATCCTGGCAGGTGCCCTTTGATAGCAAACATCCTTTGGCTTTTTGAGATCATAACTCACCGTGGAGAGGAATGATAACCACTGTACAAATCTAATGCTCCAAATCTAAGCGTTTGTACTTTCTCTTCATTAGTCTTCTAAAAAGTCTGACAACATTAACTGACAAAATTAGCCTAATTCAGGACCACGGACAGCACTACACTGTATGGGTATCACAGTTATGACACAATTTATTGTTATTTAACTAGATTAAAAATGAGTAATTCTTATAAAATGGACCAATTACTGAGCGACAAGTGGGTGAAGCATGATAGTGAAAGAAATGTGAAAGGAAGACAACAGGAACATGTTGTCAAAGACAACCACGAAAAAGAACAGAACAGAAGCAGAGGGATTTAATTACACTCATGCACCACTGTTTCACTGAGTCCAGGTGGGTTTTCATACATCAACTACTGGGCCCTTTGCCTGTTTTGTTTGAAAGGGTTTCATGCCAAGATAAATAGAACAGAAAGAGTATCTCCCATGTCAGGATAGGGAATCAACCATAAAGTCACTGGATCTAAAAACCACTGCCAACCCAACAGTCCATGGTAAATCTGTCAGAGCCTGAGCTTGTCTGATTCAGTTAGTGCTTATGAAATGGAGCATCTGCACAAGCTCCCAGTGAGTATGTACTGTACACATAAACCCTGCCTTGGGAAATGAGCTGAGGGGTCATTTAGATTTGGGTGGAGGACGCATACAGTGCTGCCTCACTCTGTCTCCGTCACCTGGAAACAGGGAGCCTCCTGACAAATGTATTCCCAACAACGGTCTTAACAGCAACACCTGAGCAACCAAACTCAACCCCCCTTCTCCCCACCCCTCCAGCTCCAAACGTTTATCCACATTGGCTGATGCTGCCTCCTGAGATCTTAGATAATCATTAAGCAGGTTGGCCGCCTTTCTTTTAATGATGCCTTATGTGTCCGATAAGCTGCACTACAATCACCATACATGGCTGGACTTGTTTGCCGTAAACCACATCAATCCACTATGTGTGTACTGTGCCTGGGCAGAAATTGGGCTCAGTAAGTCATCTGTGGAAGATGATTATCCTCCTCACCAGAAAGAGCAGTTTCAGCCAGTCACATCAATACCAGAGATGTTACATAACACATCCTTCTACTGACCATAAAAGTCAAACATTAATAAAGCAGCACAATAGATCCTAACTATGAGAACAATTCATTAGCAGCACTGATTATCATAGAGATTATCAACAAAAGGTAAAGTCAGGAACAAAAGATTAAAAAGTCAGAGAGGAAAATGTCTTGACGCCTTTTTCAAATGACATTACAGCTCATTTCCAGATCAATAGCTTCCCTCTTTCCTCCGTGACCGAGATAAACCCATCACTACCGAAGGATGGAGCAGCGGAGGAGAGACAAAAAAGGGCACCACAGCCAGCCCATTTCATCTGAATGAGGGAGCTGAAACAGAGGGATTAGCTACAGCGGGATGAAAGCAGTTCTTTATCTTTCACTTCTATTCCCCTCCCTTCATTATCCTTTCCGCCCACACATCAACACCGTGGTCTCCACTCGCAACACAGAAACACATGCTCTATATGTTGTAGCCAATTTAGTTATCTAGTATCAATCAATCTCTCTAGTGTGCTCCACCCTGCCAACATTGAAGGTAAATAAAAAAAAAGGTTCACGTGGTCGTTTTACAGGTGCCAAAAAGATTATATAATTTGCAAGCACCACTGACAGTTCAAAAAAAAAAAGTGTAGTTTGAGAGTGGCATCCCTAATGCACACACCCATAGTCACATAGACATCAGTAGTACATTACCATCTGCCAATACACTCACAAAACAAGTCAAAATTCAGTAGAACTTCTCAGTGACCTGAAGAGAAAATTCTTACCTGGCAACAATAGCACACCTTCAGCTTTAAATGGGCTCACCCAGACGAGGAGGCAGGCTCATCTGTAGTAGAGACTGGAGTTGTGAGAAAGAGAGAGAGAGAGAGAGTGAGAGGGAGGATGAGGAAAAGAGTGCGGTTGTGAGAGAGGCTGGCAGAGAGAGTGAGAGAGAGAGGTGGAGCTTTGCTTGAAGGAAACAAAGGGAGACGGATGATGTCTTTGCCTGCCGTCGCTACAGCCAGTCCTGTGGGAGCTATGTGGATGGCGCTAGATTATCTCCTGTTCAAAGGTGCGCGGCTGAAGCGCCACGTTCAAGGCTGGGAGAAAAGAAACCCTGGGGCAGAGAACAAGAAGAGGAGGAGGAGGAGGAGATGTTGTGAAAGAGACACCCAGAGCCGTCACCGTCACGCAGCATTTACAAGGAATCCCTCCAGTAAGAGGGGCACTGCATCACTGAGTCCTTGGCTGTGATTGGCCGAGTGGTAGGGAGACGCCAGTGATGGTGGACAACATTGTGTAGCCTAAGATGACCCCTCAACACGTACCAACATGTCCTGACTGCTGAGTGTCTGTCACTTTCAAGGACATGATAAGATCTCTGAGGAACCGGGGTGTTTTCATGTTTGTCCCATTTTTGTTACAACTTGCCCTTGGACATTAACGGCTGTAGCCGCACTAAAACAAACACACACAATGACAATCACGCACACAACCACTAAGAACTTGCCCATGAAGGGCAGATAATTTCCCCTGAGAAAGGCTGAGCCTGTCGATGGAAGTCACACTATCATCTTCAGAGGCGATAGAAGTGATAGGATAGGATGTCAGGTTAATCTAAATCTGATGCCCAGGTAATGAAGACATTTTTTAATATGCCTGGACGCCTGCAGACAAGGTGATGTTTTTCCAGGTTGTCGAACAATATGACCCATTTCTAGCTGATGATACAGTTAACAAAGCAGTCAGAGCCTAAAGGTCAATCCTTCTACATTAAGTGGGCTCAAAAAGTGACAAGAAGTGTATTCTTTCAATTACATTTAAGTTGTAGAAACTGGACATAAAAGCTTTTCAGAACTACTGCAACCATATCTATATACAAGTAGAAGCATTATGTTTAAAGGAAATAAGTAAAACCTTACTGGATAAAGTGTACTTCACATTGGATGTCATAGAATAATATTTCTAATTTCCCATTAAATATAATGATAAATAGATGTGTACTGTACATACAGCATATATATCCATATATATGAATACAATAAAAGATTAAATAAAATGGAAAAGAGCTTTGGAGTCAATGCCAATTAAAGCTACAGTGTATTGCTACAAAAAGGTCACTATAATCAATACAGTCAGTTGGTACAGCTATTTGGATTGACTGATTTCATGTTACTTTGGAAAGTAATTTAGCATTTATTTTGAAAACCTCAATTATATTTTTAACTGAAATATTATCAGGTGGTTACACAGCTGCATCAGAGAATGTAATGTACTCAATGTGATAAATGGAACTGAGCGTATAATCACTGAAACATAAACAGTGGCCGGGGATTTCCTTTAAACAATAAATAAAACATATCTGACAAAATTACACCTCTCCAGTGACAGTGATTTCTGGCCTTAATGGTCGCTTGTCCTGATACAAAAGAGCTCATTGGTTCTGGAGTTTCTTCTTTGGCACACACAAACCATCACCAGCAGGGACACCAGCTGTACCACTCTGGTCCTATTCAGAAATAGCTTGGCCTCAGTGGTGTCCCTGGCCGTGTCCCAGCCAGCAGCCTTTAAAAGCCAGAGCAGGCAGCAGGCAAGTCCAGAGTCCAGTGGCCGAGCTCAGAGTCTTGTCTGTGTCCTGCATGGGGACACCAGAGTAACTAGGCGCCTCAAAACATGGCAGCAGACACAGGCGACCTCAGTGCTTTACAAGCTGCGCCCCCTGCTTCAGACACTCTCGTCAAAGAGTCTTAGAACAAAATCAAAGTGACAATTTATAATGAGAAGGATGGAGAAAATAATTACCAGGTCAATAAAGGACCAATGAATCTTTTTCCTCATCTTCAAACAAGCACCAGATAAGTGATTACTGCTCGACTTACCACTTAATGAAAAAGGCCAAGGGTTGTTGTGTTGTTAACAACGGCCCAGAAAAATGACATAAGATTGATGACAGGAGGTAGCAACTCTAAAGGTAAAAAAATGAATGGAAAACTTTATGGGAAAGTTGTTCAAACATTTTTCTTTGAAAATTAAACTTCTGTTTCTGTGTTGATTATCTTTGACAATGTCAATTAGAGCAGAGAAACTCAACCAGACTGCAAACAAATAGTGTTCAAAAACACAGTGTCTACACACAGTACAGTAAGGTGTTATTGCAACTATGCAGATAGATACATGGCCCGTGACCCAGTGGTTCAGGAGGATTGGGGTGCAAATCCACCGTAGTGTATCGTAAACTCTCTAAAGCTTTGCCAAAGTGCGGCTCACTGCTCTTTAATCACTGGTGTGTTTCACAGATCAGTTACATTTAGACAAGGATTTCTAGAGCACTGAAAAGAGTAATAAAAATGGTGAAGCAGATAAAACTACTTACAAAAATGTATACTTATTTATTGCCTTTACAGTATACCAAAACCCACTGCTTTTGTTCCGTCTGTATTCATGGGGGTCATGCTGTATTATGTCCTCTCCTGGATTGCAGAGATCACACGGTGCCTAGGGAAGCTTGGCCTTCTCTGGTTCTTGTTTACAGATCAACAGCATCTCTAGGAAAAGACGGGCAGCAGCATCTGACAGAATGATTGATGATGTAACAGTACTGAGCCACTGTGTCCCCCACTGCATCAGCACCACCCTTCAGCTGCTCACACTGACCGTCTCAGAGTGAGTGGGTATGACATAGATCAGGCTAAGAGTTTTCTTATTTTCCAAAAATGCTTTCACATAGAAGCATAATGGCACACGACACCTGTCATGTGACCAACCGCAGGTCAAAACATGCTGCAAATGACAATGCATGGAAGAGCATAATAGATGAATGACAAGTAAAGTTTAAAAGGGCATGTCACCAAATGACTTGCCTAAAGTAAACAAACAAGCTCATCTCAAAACATCTTTAAGTTTCACTGTGAAGCAAAGACAGCATCATTAATAGTACGGTCAGGAAATCGAAGGATTGAAATCATAGTAGTTAAATAAATCACATCATCCATCAGCAGCACAATGACTAATGGTGCATTCCTTGCCTAAATCAATGTCAGTTTAATTGATCATTATTTAATTTTATGGTCAAAAATGAAGGACGTAAACTTTGAAAACAAATGTGAGTAAATATCGTACCAACTTTGTAGATACTCATATTTGACACACATTTGACATTAGAACGATCCCAGTGCACACCACCAAACAAATGTCATGACAAGTATATTTAATGAAATGCAATGATCCTCTAGTTTTCACTCAGAATTGACTTACAGTATAGTATAAGATTAGCCAGTACTAGATTGATTAGATTAGACTGATTTAGATTTACTCAATATTCTTTCTTCACATCAATCGTGACATCCTCATCAATTTCTTCTTTGATTACTTTATCCAAAGCTGGAATTCAAAGTGTGAAAAGGGAGATACTTTCATAACATTTTAATATCTAAAAAACAGGTGGGTTACAACTAGTAATGTCTCACTCCATTGAGTCTGCTAATGGTTTCTATTGTTGTAGAGAAAATAAGTTTAAGAGATTCATTTAAAGCCTAGACCTGCTGAAATAATTAACTCTGCACTCACTTCAGTAAATTACCAAATGTGAAGCTGTTCTAATTTGGTCTACCATGTAACACTATGTTAATCTAAAACAATTCATTCTTCAGCATCAACCTGCCTAGAAGGTCATAAAGATGAAGGTCAGCCACTTCCTCTTATCAGTGCATCCAGACCGTCTTAGGCCTTATCATTGCAGCTTCCCTGAAGATATTTAGTCCTAGACATGCACCAACACCTCCACATCAATGCCTGATCACCACAATACTCAGGATCCCACAATCATACATCGACCTGCCTGTCACTGCAGCTGCTGTCAGGTGTTTGATAAATGGAACTATGTAGCATGTCTGCCTCACAGCACATGACCTCCTTACAGGAGCCAAGATGGCTTCCAGTATGCCTCGCAGTGACAAAGTGGACTCCAGATATGGTAAAGGGCCTTAAAGATAACATGTAATCACTGGCTGTGGGCGAGAGCGTGGTTCAATAGTCTATGAAATGACCCTTAAAACTATGTGTTGTTCTCCTTGCTCAGCTGAGGGAAACACACCCACTTCAAAGTAGGACATAAATCAATGCACAAGATGAGTTTTATATCAGATGCTTTAGAGAAAAAGAGTCTCACAAATGCAGAGTAATCATTCGAAGATTGCAGTTGTTGCAACACATAGACATTAATTGTCAACTGCCAACATTTTTTGTATAAATAAGTGAGTTTTTGACCTGGTTTAATGTGTTTGTATAGCAGAATGCATAATTCTACAATTCTTTTCCTTGATTTCTGACACATCAAGACAGACTTTTGTCCTTAACACTGCTTCTTCTGCATATTTCCACAAAAGAAGTAACAAAAATCACTAAATAGCAGATTAGAGAAGAGACAAGACCAAAATAAAATACTACAAGCTCTAGTTACTTCCTGACTTTTGACTTCATTCATAGTGTAATATTTGTCCTTACTAGGGATGTTAAAATACATCCTAAATTGATTTAAAATTATTACCGGTTATTAATTTTTGGACTAGATTTTTAGGCCATTATTTTAGTACCAGCATTATTCCTACCGTTGTACGAAAAACATACGTACAAAGCATTAAAATTGAAACTCATTTGCTTTCCTGCGATCGCTCTGACCTCCCACCATAACTTTACACCACCTGGGGGCCCCAACCCTCCTTTGGGAACCACTGCTCTGAGATAACAAAAAAGGAAGATAAAGACATCAGTTTGATCAAAATGCCAGAAATCCCATTTTCAAGATGCCTTGTTTTCCCACTTGTACAGGCTTCTACTAAGACTCATTTTCTTCATGTCTCTCTGCAAGACAATTAGCAGACATCTGTGCAGGTAAGAGTGGATACAACGCAGTGACAGTTACTACGCAGAGGCTGTAACCAACATATTATTCTGTCAGGAATATTTCTGATATGGTTTTGTATCAAGATCAAATGAATAAATCCTTCAGCTGTTGCACCGAAGCCGTACCCTCCATTGCCGAGTGCCTCTCCTCATGTCTTTTTGCCTGCAGTGGGCCTATTCTTAGTGGGTATCATCTTCATCATGTGCGGACTATTTTTAGTAGGCTGTCACGCGATGTCAGTACAACTGGAGTCTCACAGCTGTTATAATATGACATGTTACAGATACAGAGCTGCTAGTCTGGAAGTCTTAGAGAGCATGCTATGGAATTATCCATGTGTGAGATTACTGATAAC